GGGCAGACTCCCCTTCCTGGGCCCTTGTTTTGGGGACATCAGTTGTTTTCTGGGAGCTTCAGGCCCGGGGTTGTGCTTAATTGGGGCAGGCGCTTCCATCCAGGGTCCACTGCTCACTTCCCGGTGTCCCCCAGGCCTCCTGGGTGCACCTCCGGCCATGCCGCTGCTCAGCGGGCCCGCCCTATCCACGGCGCTGTTGCAGCTCGCCCTGCAGACCCAGAGTCAGAAGGTAATTGCGCGGCCCCGGGCCCTCCGCACGCACACGCACGCCCCTGCTCCTCGGTCCATTTCACACCCCCCTCGCACCTGCCAGCGGCTTGCCATTGGCAGGGTGACAGGACATGTGTTCGTGTCTGTGGCAGGTGCTCAGGACTCAGGCAGTGACTCAGTCTGGGAGAGAAAGTCCAGGCTTCACAGGGGAGTAGCTCGCTGGGGTCTTGCTCCCACCTTCTCAACGCATATACATGGAGACCTGGGCAGACCAAGATACACACACACACACACACACACACACGCCACTGATCCACCCGGTTTGGTTCATTAGGGTCAAGTCAGTGACATGGGTGTGTCTGACTGTCACTGACGGAATTAGGGGCTTGCGTGGCTAAAAGTGACTGGCTCCATGTGTGGCTGTTACACTGTGTTGGACACTGTGCTTCCATGATAGCAGGGGAACTGCGTGTGGGACAGTGTGCCTGGGAAGGACTGTCATCTTATGTGTGTCTGACAGTGGTTAGCAGTGTGGGTGACGGGCCCTGACACGCCGAGCATCTGGTGCATGTCCCCAGGGTCTCTCCAGGGCCTGGTATGCAGGAGGCCCTTCATCACCACTGGGTGGCCAGATGGGTGACGGCTGGGATGTTGGCAGGCACTGGGGGACACTGTGCATGTCTGCCCATGACGGGCTGGGGCCTGGAGTCCGGGTGTGCTGGGTGTGGCGACCCCTGTCCACTGTCTGAGCCACACTGGCCCATCTCCAGCTGATTATGCTCTGTCTCCAGAAGCCTGGGATCCTAGGAGACTCTCCCCTGGGCACCCTTCAGCCTGGGGCCCAGCCGGCCAACCCCCTCCTCGGGGAGCTGTCTGCAGGTAACACAGACCCTGTGCCCCCTCATCTTTCTGGACCCCGTTCCCACTTCCCCTTTCTGAGCCCCTTTCCTTACTGGGCATGGACACATGACCTCATTTCTCTGGGTCTCAATGGCCCCATCTGTTGATTGGGCCCTCACCACCCAGGGTGGCCGGGAGCATCCTGGGAGGTGATGTGCTTAGAGGGCTCTGCACAGTGCTCACCACATTTACCTGCTGGTCCCGGTCCAAGTGGAGGCTCAGGGCCCCAGGAAGACTGGTCCTGTGGGGTTGGGCGCCAACACCACCTTCTCCCTGTAGGGGGGGCCCTGCCCCCGGAGCTGCCGCCCCGGCGAGGGAAGCCACCACCTCTGCTGCCGCCACTACTTGGCCCCTCTGGGGGTGACCGGGAAGCCATAGGCCTGGGTCCCCCAGCAGCCCAGCTCACTCCACCCCCTGCCCCAGTGGGACTCCGAGGCACCAGCCTTAGGAGCCTCCAGAAAGACAGTGGACCTCTGCCAGCACCCCCTGGGGTAAGGCTCTGCCCTGTGCCCAGTACCAATCCAGCCTCCTGCCCTGCAAGAGCCCGCCTGCCAGGGGCCCTCACGAATCCAGCCCTCCCACCACAGGTCTCGCTGCTGGGGGAACCCCCAAAGGACTTCCGGATCCCCCTGAATCCCTACCTGAACCTACACAGCCTACTCCCGGCCAGCAACCTGGCGGGTAAGGAGGCTCGGGGCTGGGGAGGCACAGGGAGAAGCCGCCGCCCGGCTGAGGGCCACCTGCCTAACCCCCCAGCCCCTGGAGGTGGTGGTGGAGGCGGCGGCAGCAGCAAAGCCTTCCAGCTCAAGTCCCGCCTGCTCAGCCCTCTCGCCAGCACCCGTCTGCCCCCTGAACCAGGGCTGCCTGACAGCTGTGGTTTCGACTACCCCTCGGTGAGTACCTAGCTGCCATGCGGTCAGCCTCCCGAGGGCTGCCGCTGTGGCCCTTTGTCCCCCAGAGCAAGTCATTCTCTGGAGTATTATTTCTCTAGTACTGAGGGCCAGGTGAGCGCTAGGGAGATTGCGGGGAAGGTGCCAGACACAGTCCCCACCCTGTCTCATGTCTGTTTGTCTCTGCACATCAGACCTGCTTCCTGTCTTTCTCTCCCAAGAGGCATTAGGCTGGGCTTTGGCCTCTTAGAGACAAGGTTCGGTGTCCTGTTGGTCTTTCTGTCCTTCTTTCCCTTCTCTGACTCTTGTCCCTGTCCCTGGAGAGCTGCTCCTTCTGTGATCCCAGCCTCCCCCGGGCTCAGATGTTGCAGCCCAGCCACCTGCAGGCCCCTCTGTGTTATGTTTGGCACCCACCAGGTTTGCTTATTTGTTTATTTTTAAGATTTTATTTATTTATTTGACAGAGCAGCAGCGAGAGAGGGAACACAAGCAGGGGGAGTGGGAGAGGGAGAAGCAGGCTTCCCGCCGAGCAGGGAGCCCGATGCGGGGCTCGATCCCAGGACCCTGGGACCATGACCTGAGCCGAAGGCAGACGCCCAACGACTGAGCCACCCAGGCGCCCCTGGCCCACACCGGGTTTAAAAAAAGTAACAACTGAAATAAATGTCAACGCTAACATATAAAAGGGCTCACACAATGCCCAGTGGTCTTGAAACACTGTGAACACCTGGCCCCACAGGGGCCACACGCCTTCACAGCAGCCGTCTCCGGGGCTGATGTGGAACCCCTCCCTGCCGTGGGGCACACACTCCATCTCATCCCAGTTGCCCAGCCTGCAGTTGGAAGTCACCCGCACAGTCGAGTGTGTCCTCTGCTGGAGGGGCCAGACTTCCCTGGGACAGCTGTGCCGTGGAACTCAGCCAGGGGTGAAGCTGGTGCAGACTCCCACCCAACATGCTTCTCTCCCTTTCCTTCAGGATGTGGGACCTCGGCGGCTCTTCTCCCACCCACGGGAGCCGGTGCTAGGGCCTCACAGACCCAGCCGACACAAAGTAAGAGCTGCCCCGTCCATCTCATCTCCTGGGCGTATCCGTTAGCTTTTGCCACATAACAAGCGGCCCCACCACTTGGTCGCACAGAACAGCAGATACTTGATTTCCCACCAGTCTTCGGGGAGACCAGCAGGTGGTTCCCTGGTGGCACAGCTGGGGCCTGAGCAGTCTGCACTGGTTTTAGTCACATACCTGGCAGTTACTAGGCAGGGGAAGGGGCCTCAGCTGGGATGATTTATCAGCTGCCCATGGAGCTCGTTTTCCAGCAGGCCACCCTGTGAGGCTGGCCTGCATGTGGTGGTGGTCCCAGGGTTCCCAAGAGGAAGCAGGGAGGCCCGGCACCTCTGCCTTTAGCGTCATGCTGCTGTCCCATTGGCCAAAGCTGGGGGGGAGGGGGCATTGGGGAGGATCTACAAAATGGGTTGGGTTCTCCCAATAATCTGTCTCACTCAGCCCGTCCCCCTCTCTGCAGATGTCCCCCCCGCCAAGTGGTTTCGGAGAACGGAGTGGTGGGGGCGGCGGGGGGCCCCTCTCCCACTTCTATTCGGGCTCTCCCACTTCCTACTTCACCAGTGGCCTGCAGGCTGGCCTCAAGCAGAGCCACCTTAACAAGGTGAGGAGCTTCCCCAGCTGTGGACAGTTCCCCAGGGACAGCCAGGATGCAGGAGCCCCTGCGGCCTTTGGTGCCTAGGCCCAGGCTGAGGTGGTGGCAGAGCTCTGCTCAGGGACGAGCTCAAACAGGCCATCCCCACACCTGTGTGTCTTGCACCTAATGTTGCTCAGCCTTCCTGGCCACCTTTCACTCCCTCCCCAGTAGCCTGCGGTTTGGGTGAGATTAGCCCCAGTTGACAAATGAGGCAACAGGCTCAGAAAAAAGAAGTCCCCCCAGTCTCCTAGCTGATGTGTGGCAGAGGCAGGATTCGAGCCTGAAACCCCTTGCCTTTGCCCTGGGGGCCACTTCCTCTCCCATTCCATCTCTCTCCCACGTCTCCCAGGCGGTCGGCTCCTCTCCACTGGGCTCCGGAGAAGGGCTCCTGGGCCTCGGCCCTGGGCCAAATGGCCACAGCCACCTGCTGAAGGTACGGGGGGTGGGTGGAGAGGGCAGTGGGGACGTGCTGGGTTGGGGAGCAGTGGCCCCTCGATGGCCTCTGACTTGTCACCCCCTCCCCTCTGTCTCTAGACCCCACTGGGTGGCCAGAAACGCAGCTTTGCCCACCTGCTGCCCTCACCCGAGCCCAGCCCCGAAGGCAGCTACGTGGGCCAGCACTCCCAGGGCCTGGGGGGCCACTACGCAGATTCCTACCTGAAGCGCAAGCGGATTTTCTAAGGGTCCAGTGCCAGAGATGCTCAAGGGCCTGCACCAAATCGCTTTTGGGTTTTCTGGTGTTCTGTTTGTGTTTCCGCCCCCCCCCCTTCAGTAATAGAAAAATCTCTGAAAGACTTTGTTGACCAGCCAGCCGGAACCCAAGGAGTGTGGGGGAGTCTGGGGGCCACACTGCACCTCTGGCCTGCTCCCGGCATGGAAACTCTACAGCCTTAAGAGAGAGGGGCCCTGGCCTGCTCTCTGTCCCCTCCCCGTATCTGCCTGTGTCTGTGTCTCTCTGGGAGTCCTCTCCTGCCTCGTCACTCCTGTATCTTGGCCTTTCGAGTGCCTTGGAGGTTCCCCTGACCTCCCGTGAGGATCAGAGACTGTCCCCCTTTTTTAACTTTGACAATTGACTTTTGTTTCCTTTTCTAATTTGTATTATTTTTTAAACAATCCAGGACGACCCCCAGCTCTGATTCCTTCAAGGTCCAGCGTGTCTGGGCCTTCATTCCACTCTTTTCGGTTTGAAATGGCTCAGCCCTCTTTCTCTCGTGTCTGCCGCAGGCATGGCTGTGTCCTGCCCCTGCCTGTCCACTCTGACCTGTATTCCAGCTGGGGGTCCCCAGCCCCCTGCCACAGTTCCCTCGCCTTCTGATGCCTTAAAGCTGGGTCCCAGGCCCTGCGGTCAGAGCCTCTTAGATGCCGAGCTCTGGAAGCTTGACTCAGGACCAAATGGCTCTGGCCTGGGGATTGGGCCCCTCTACCCAGGGTCCCCACTCTGAAGACAGTAGAAGGCCAAAGCCTTGGTCTTGGCAAACCAACCCCATCATCCCTCCTACCCAGGCCTATGTGCAGAGACGGGTTTTCTCTGCCAGCTTAAACCAGTCCTGCTGTCAGTCTGTGGGAGTCCGGTTATTGTGCATCTCACTGAGCCTCTGCTCTCTCCGCCCGCCCGCCCCCATGTTGAAGATGAGCTCCACCTCTCCAGCCCCAGGCTAGATCACCTGGAGCTGGCCTCCTATTGGCCCAGTGCCCAGTCCAGCAACTTCATGCGGATAAGCTCTGCCCCTGCCCACCAGCAGGACCTGTCGGCCTGAGGAGATCCTGGGCCCTTCCCCTGGCCGGTTGGGCCACCAGCTTCCCTCCCCTGACTCGGGGCGGGGGTCCACATCCACTCCAGGGGGGTGTCGTCTCCCCAGTCCTCTCTCACAGACCTTCCTTTGCTGAATTAAAGTTTGTAAGTAAATGGTTTTAAAGAAAGCAGAGCTGGCTGGTTCTTGGGACAAACAGTGGGCTTGGGTGGGTAGTCGGGGATGGCGCCGCAGGTCTTTCGTGTGTGGGTGAGCCAGCATGGTTCCCTGGCGCTCTGGCAGCCCCTTCCTGGAGTCCTTCCTCGCAGGCTTCCCACTCAAACGGTAGTGCTCAGTGCTCGTATTTGGGCAATTACGGGCCCTTTGGTCGCGTGGCTGCCACTGGGCATGCCCAGGTCCGGGTCACGTGATGCCTGTCATGGCCGCCTCCGTGCCCCGGGGAGGCGTGACTGCTGGGTTTCTCCTGCGGGCGGCCGGTGGAGCCTGGTGGAGCCGGCCTGGGGGCTCTCGGGGGTCGGGGGAGGCGGCGGCGCCAGTGACAGCCAGAAGATTCCGAGCAACAGGTACCTGGGGCGCTTTGGGGGACAGCGTTAATCCGCCGGACGCCCGCAAGGCGCGCCGCGGCCTCTCACCCAGCCGTGTTTTCCAGGCTCGCGCCCGGCGGGGGAAGAAGAAGCTGGCGGCCCCGAGCGGCCCGGGGACGTGTGAGTGTAGGGGGCCGAGTCCCCCATTCTTTATCCCACGAGGTTCCTCTGGTCCCCGCCTTGCCCTGCAGCCCCATCTCTGTGTCCCTCTTCTACCTCGTCCTATTCCCCTGGCCGTCAAGGCCCCCTAACCCTAGACGTGACCTGGCCACCGCGCCCACCATCAAGTTTGGTATCTGCACCCCCGTCTGTCCCCAGGGTGAACGTGGTGTTCGTAGACCGGTCAGGCCAACGGATTCCGGTGAGCGGCAGAGTGGGGGACAATGTTCTCCATCTGGCCCAGCGCCATGGAGTGGACCTGGAAGGTGGGAACCCCACACTGGGAATTGGGGAGGTCCTTATTCATTGTTTTAAAAACCCTGCAAATCAGATACGGTTCTCCGTTACTTAACCGCCCCCCCCCATGGCTTCCCATCAAACATGGCTAAAATCCAGACTCCTCACCAATGTCTCGAACCCTGACCAGCTCTAAACCTTCACTCACTCAGCAGCTATTTATTGAGTATTTATTAGAGGTCATTAACATTCCTGCTCTCCAGGAGCTTGTATTCTCTCTCTCCTTCCTCTTTCTCATCTAGACATGCTGGCTTTCTTGCTGTTCCTCAAACAAAAAGCCAAGTTCATTCCTGCCTCGGGGCTTTTGCATTTGCTGCTCCAGACATCTGAAGTACTTTCCCACGAGATTAATCCTTCAGGTCTCAACGTAAATGTCATCTTTCTGACAATCTCCTCCCCTCAGCCCCCCTAAAACCCCCACCCCTGGTCACTGTCACCTCAGTGTGCTTTATTGTCCTCCTAACACTTCTCAGTGTCTTGTTTCCTTTTTGTCATCTTCAGAATGAGATCAGAAACCCTGGTGCTACTTATCGGTTGTCTGTCATGGTATTTAGATGTAACGGGTATTAAATCAGTATTTGCTGAATAAAAGGTAATCATAGCAGACATTATTTTAAGCTCATTAAATACCTACTGACTGATTGAATCTTCCTGACAAGGTTATGTGATAGGGAAGATTGTTATTTTATAGGTGAGGAAGCAGCCCCAGGTTAAGTTGACATGATCCAGAGTCAAGTAAGTGGCAAAACTAAATTCAAAGCCAGTTTATTTTAGCCACTAATCTGTGTTGCTCTTCTATGTGTATTGAATACCTACTGTGTGCCAGGGAGCAATGTACAAAACAGACAAGGCCCCTATCATTTCACATCAATTTCAACTTAATAGGGACCATAGTCCCAGGAGTAAACGTGTAATTATGAGCAGCTGGAAAGGGCAGTCTGAAAAAAAAAATGTACAGGGTTATTTGTTGGGTGAATATAATACAGAGCCTGATTTAATCATTATCGGGGGTGGGGATGTTGGGGGGCTGGTCATGGCAGGCCTACCTCAAGTTCTGTTCTGGAATCCAGTCACCAGGAGTCCAGGACAGAGATTGGAACATGAGTTTTAGAGGCAAGTGGCCTGTGTTCATATTTTGCCTCTTACCAGCTCTATGACTCTGAGCAAGGTACTTTACCTCTCTGGGCCTCTGATGCCTCATGTATAAAAGGGGATAATTTAGTTACTGTCTCATTGGGTTGCTCTGGAGGATTAAACAGATCTCGGAAGCAGTGCTGAATGCCTGGCACCTGGTTAGTATGCAGTGCCTAGCTGGGACTATTGTATTCAATAATCTCTATCTCATGGGATGAGGGTGCTAATGAGGTGGGAAACGAGACTGAGGGAGAGATTCCTTGGGGGCTGCCTGGGGCTTCAGGGTCCAGACATTTTATCCCCAGGAGACAGGGAGGGTGGGCAAAGTCACCAGGTCCCCCTGGGAGGTTCTTCCGGGTCAGGAGGTTGCCTTGCAGCTACATCCTCATTATCCGACATGTGTGGAAGACAGAAATCTGTCCCATTCACTTAAAACACATGTCTCTTGAGCATCCATATGCCAGGCTCAGTGTCAAGTACAAAGACGGAGGCCAGGTTGATGGAGCATAGGTACGCCCAGAGATTCAGGTGGTAACCTGAGCTTGTGGTAAATCTTGTGCAGAAATTAGAGTCCCCAAGGCCGGGCAGGGGTGGGGGGGGTGCGGGGAGAGGATAAGAAACAGGAGATGGGGGAACTGGAGAACAGATGAGTTCTGTTGGTAAAAGAGTGGAGAGAGGAACATTCCAGGGCAAGGGTGCAACGAGTGCAGAGGCCATATGCTGGGGACGAGCTTGGTGCGTTGGAGTTGGGGGGGGCAATGTGGCTGAAGTGAGTGAGTGAGGGGTCGGAAGAATCTCAGAGATTGAGTGGAAGAGTTTGGTTTTATTCTGGCTGCAAAAAGGCCTTGGAAGGTTTTATTTATTTATTTATTTTAAGTTTTTATTTATTTGACAGAGACACAGTGAGAGAGGGAACACAAGCAGGGGGAGCGGGAGAGGGAGAAGCAGGCTCCCCGCGGAGCAGGGAGCCCGATGCGGGGCTCGATCCCAGCACCCCGGGATCATGACCCGAGCCGAAGGCAGACGTTTAATGACTGAGCCACCCAGGCGCCCCATGGCCTTGGAAGGTTTTAGACCAGGAGGGACATTATCCCCACAGAGCAGTTCTCAGCGATCAGTCCAAAGGGTGGGAATGTGTCCAAGGGAAAAGCAGGAAACCCCAGCTTCTGTATCTTTCAACCCTTATTTTCTGGTCTCTTCCCCTGCCACACTGAGTGTTGAGGAAGCAGGTCCTATCTTCGGGAGCAAGAGGGAGACGGAAACCCATTTGCCCAGCACAGTGACAGGGTCCCTGCAAGGGCTTACAGGCTGCAGGGACCCTGCCTTTTTCCCCCTCAGCCACACTGAAGTCAAGTCCACGCTCATTCATGGTTCCATGTACGCAGTCTGGTCCACAGCCTGCTGGGGGGTTGGTCCTTGGGAGATGGGACACCCCGGACGTCCTTTTGCCAAACTTACACACAGCTCGGGAGCAGCTAGCCGAGTGGATGACGGGGCGGAGGGTGCGCTCGGTGCGGGCCCGGGAAGGACGGACGAGGGGCGCGTGGGGAAACAAAGGGCCTCTTCCCCCTTCTGTCCTTGACCGCATGGTGCCTACCTGACCGTGCCCCTCACTGGCACCTCCTCGCTTGTTGCCCCCAGGGGCCTGTGAAGCTTCCCTGGCGTGCTCTACCTGCCACGTGTACGTGAGCGAGGACCACCTGGACCTTCTGCCTCCTCCCACTGAGAGGTGAGCGGGGGCAGCCCCTACCCGCTGTCCAGGGCCCCGGGTGGGCCGCGCAAGGCAGCCCCAGCCCGACTTCCCCCTGCAGCTGCTGGCGGTGGCGCTGCCCCTCGCCGGCCTGAGAGGTGCCTCGTCCCTGCCCGGGGGGGCCCTCACCAGCTGGACAGCTTGCCCCCTGGTGACTGCTGTTCTTGCTGCAGGGAGGACGACATGCTGGACATGGCCCCCCTTCTTCAGGAGAACTCCCGGCTGGGCTGCCAAATCGTGCTGACTCCTGAGCTGGAAGGGGCCGAATTCACGCTGCCAAAAATCACCAGGAACTTCTACGTGGACGGCCATGTCCCCAAGCCCCACTGACACCCCGGGCACCCGCGGCCTCGCGGCCGGGACTGGAGGAATAGCCAAGTTGCCAGCCCAGCCCAGAGCATGGGCAAGCCCGAGAGAGATGTTGGAAGCAACCAGAAGGCCAGAGCCCCTGCCTCGGAGAGATCCCATGTCCAGGCTCTGGTTTGGGAGGCCGAGGGGGACCCAGCCCTGCCGGGGCGGCCTCCCCCAAACTCAGGAGAATCAGTGTGTAGATAGGGTGGAATCTAACTGGAACAACAATAAAACTGTCTCACAGACCTCCAGTGTCTTGAGGGTCCTGGGGGGGGGGCGGGGACGGCAGGCCTTGGGGCCTGCAGCCGCACCTTCTGGACCCCCAATTCTCCCCTCCCGCGGCAGCGCCGGGGCCACGGGGCTGGGGTAGCGGGACGGCCGAGGCGGAGACCTGGAAGCTGCCTTCCCGGAGAGCCCGGGAGCCTGAGCCTGCGTGCCCCCGCGTGGCAAGGCCCCGCCCCCCCGGCCGCGGAGGGATTTGGGGGGGGTCCAGGCTGGACTGGAGGGGTGTGAAGGCCACCCGAGCGGAGCTGCCAGAGTGGGACCGAGGCCGGCGTCGGGGGAGAGGGCGGGGGGGTGGGGGGCTTGGAACCGGGCGCCCAGGGCTGCCTGCCAGAGGCGCCCCACCGCACCCGCCCCGCCCAGGTGGGGCTCATCGCCGCCTCCGCCAGAAGCGCCCCCACCAGGCACGTCCTGCTCCACTCAGGTGGGGCTCATCGAGTGGGCTCAGGGTGGGCGGGGCCGGGCGCGATTAGGGAAGTGGGGCTGGGCCGGGGCGTGATGGAGGCCGAACCGGTCCCAGACTTCTCAAAGCTGCAAGAGCTCCTGGCGCCGCCGTGTCTGGACCCGAAGCCGCCCCGGGCGCCCCCTGCTCAGCAGGCACCAAGGACCCCAGGATGCCCCAGACCCAATGGCAGGTGCGTTCAGGAGCCGCCCCTTCCCCCAGCCTGATCCAGTGGTCAAAGGGTCATGACCTCTGGCTCCTGGGGGTTATTCAGAGGTCACCATGTTAGTTACTGACACTTAAAAAGAAGAAGTTCTGGTCCCGAGGGCTACTTGGGGTCATATGGGGGTCAGAGGCCACGCAACTCCCCCATGTCTCTGAGGACTACATTGGTGCTGCCCAGGGAAGGGGGTGACCACACTGTCCCTTGTCCCCAGGTCCTTCTGGCCTGCACGCCAGGACTCAGTCACTGCCCTGCGTTTCCTCCAAGAAAGAGCAGAGGGGCTGGTTCAGCCCCCTGGCCAGGACACCCAAACCCTGGGGCCCTGCTGGGAGCTGAAAGCCTTGGAGACTCTGGGACCCTCGCCTCTGGCAAGGGATGCCAAGAACATGCTGACCCCAATCAGCCAGCCATGCTGCAGCTCAGGGCCCCCGGAGGCTCCCCCAGCCCCTTCAGCCCTACCCCAAAGGCGGCCCCGGAAGCAGTCAAAGCCCCACCCGGGCGCTGAGAAAGTGGACCCCCGGTTCGTGGGGGTGACCCTGAAGTTTCAGATAAAGCCGGATTCCAGCCTACAGATCATACCCAGCTACAGGTAGGGGCTGGCCCAGAGGAGGGTGCCCTTTTGCAAGTTATAGTAATAATGGTGGGGGCAGGGGCCTCTGCTCCCGGCACCCCACACCAGCCTTACGTTACAAATGGCCCAGCCTCTGAGCGAGACCTCAGGCTGGCGCCATGACCCAGCAACGTCCTGGTCCGAGCATAGGTCCTGTTTATGAGACGGGCCTGACCATACTGAGGGCGGCTGCTAACTGTTGTTTTTCCCAGTAATGATCATGACCACCACCTGTCAGGAACAACAACCATGAGAGGTAACAGGTAGCCCTTGATGTATATGGGCTCCCTGAAGCCTTGTGAAGCCCATTTTGCAGATTTGGAAACTGAGGTGCAGAGGATGCGATTGCTTGTCTGGAGTCACGCAGCGAGGACTCAGGAGAAATGGGATCTCAAACTGGCAGGCTGGCCCCAGACGTGCCACCTCTTCACATAATACTCATTACTGATGAGGGACAAGGCCAGGCCTTTCAGACATCAGATGCCTCCTTGGGGGATGCTTCAACTACCGATAGTAAATCATCACTGAGGGGCCACTGCCTGGGACAAGGTACAGATAGATCCCCCAATGCTAACTCCTGTCTACTCCCCAGCCTGGCCTGCAGTAGCCGCTCTCAGGGTCCCTCTACAGGCCCTGCCAGGGGTCCTGAGGCCAACTCAGGAGGCAGTGAGGCCCTCGGTGAGTCCTGGTGACTTAAGAGCTATAAATATGGGGGGGGGGCAGTTTCCCATCCTGTCTTCCCATCCTGCTTCCCCATTTAGACCCATCCAGAAGGAGTCATGGTGCACCTCCCTCCACTCAGGCTGAGTCACCCCCACCCCCGGTTTCCTCCTCTGCTTAGCTTGCCATCTGTCTCCTTTCCTGGCTTTCCCTCTGTCTTAGATCTGGTAATACCCAGGGCTGGTCCAGAGCCAGGTGGGGCCTTCGTAGAGACTCTAACAAAATGCCCCACCTGCACAGGCCTCCTGAGCCCAGACTCTTGGCCTCTGCCCCTTACCCTTTGACCTCTGCCCCCTCAGGGCCCCGGTGCTGTGCTTCCTGTAGGACCCAAAGGACCCCACTCTGGAGAGATGCTGAAGATGGGACCCCTCTCTGCAATGCCTGTGGTATCAGGTCCTCAGGATGGAGGGAGTTTGGATGCTTAGCCAGTGTGGGGTTCTGGGAGGGGAAACACTCACCCTTGTGGAAAGTGGAACTACCCAGAAAATGGTAGTTTCTGAACCCCTGCTGCATTCTGATGTTGATTTCTCGCACCCCCACCCCAGGTACAAGAAATATGGCACCCGCTGCTCCAGCTGCTGGCTAGTGCCCAGGAAAAGTGTCCAGCCCAAGAAGTTATGTGGCAGATGTGGGGTGTCCCTGGGCCCCCACCAAGGCCCAACTCAGGAAGGGTAAGCCCTTCCTCACCCAGCCGAGCCTGTCCTGACTCAGTTTCTCCGTGGGGGGGAGGGCAGGGAACGGGCAGAAGCCCTCCTGGGAGGAGTGGCGAAAAAACTTGGGTCTTCAAGGGTCCAGCCTGCCTCTTCTCTGCCCCCTCCCATTCAGGGATCTCAGGTGGAAGACCCAGGCCTCGGGCTCCAGAGTCCCTGTCTCAGGGGGCCACTGTCCCCCTCCCTGGCCCCTGGTCCGATCAGGTTTGGCTGAGCCTCCCCTCAGAAAATGTTCTCAGCAGTGACACTCCTACTGTGAACAGCAATAACAATAAAGAACACAACTACTCTGAGAAAGAGCGCTGTGACTTGGGGATCCCACCTCGTGCACACTTCCCCCTCTCTCCCCCGTGCCAGGAATGTGGGGGCAGGTGTTTTCTCATTAGGATTCTGAGGGACACACACACTCGTATATACAGGGACCAGCCCACCCACAGAGAATGAGCCACATTCACCACAACATCCCATATAGGGCAACAGCCACCACCTGCAGAGACAAAGAACACATGTAGACAGATACACACTCGGGGCGCCTAGCTGGCTCGGTCGGTGGAGCGCGCGACTCTCGATCTCGGGGTTGTGGGTTCGAACCCTGTGTTGGGTGTAGAGATGACTTAAAAAAATCTTTTTTTAAGATTTTATTTATTTATTTGACATAGACAAAGCGAGAGAGGGAACACAAGCAGGGGGAGTGGGAGAGGGAGAAGCAGGCTTCCCGCTGAGCAGGGAGCCCGATGTGGGGTTCGATCCCAGGACCCCGGGATCATGACCTGAGCCGAAGGCAGACGCTTAACGACTGAGCCACCCAGGTGCCCTTAAAAAAAATCTTAAAAAAAAGGGAAGACAGATACGTGTGTGGGGGCTAACACATTCACACACAAGACACACTGATAAACTCGCGTGTGCTGACACGCACATAAGACACACAGACCACACACTAGACAGAAACAAGCGTTGACGGACACACGACAGATACTATGTCAACACACAGAAAATACACCTAGGTGACACACACATTGGCACACAGTGATACACAGCGGTCCCTTTATCCGTCAGCTCCACCTCTGCCTGCAGGATGTCCCCTTCCTACATCTTTATGCACACCAGTCCCTTCTGTGGCCCCCTCCCCCCTCTTCCAAGAGCTCTCCAACCCCACCAAAGGGTGTCCCTAGCCTGAAGCCAGAAGCCATTCAGGAGAAGAGGGCCCTGGCCAGAGCTAAGCCCTGTCGCTGTCGCCAGAACACACAGGACACCAGTGCTCCCTGGGGGGACTGGAGGGATGCAGCCGGGGGGGGGGTCCCCCATTGCAGTGAGTGAGACCTGCCTGGCCACATAGCCCAAGAAGGGGAGCCCCTGTGAAACCCTCTTTTTCTCTTTTGGGTGAGCCTGTGGGGAAGGTCTGGGCCCAGTTCCTCAGCCCTCAGATCCCTGGCTGGAGGAGTCCTCCAGCCCCATCATTCCTCAGCTCAGAACACCCGCCTCCACGTCTCCCCTAGCTGCTGCCTTCTCATTACTGGGAGGGTGGGGCAGTCTTCCTTGACCACCCAGTCTAAAATACATACCCCACTCCCATGCTATGTCAGGCTCTAGTTCAGCTCCTCACTGGTCTCCCTCCTAGAACCTACCAGAATTTTTCAGTTGTCTACTGCTCTGGGGTTATTTCCTTCACCTTCATCTTCCCACCTGGACCATGACTTCAGGGGTCCAAGGCCACAACTGTGTCCCTGACCGTGATAGGCCACTCCAGGGCCCAGCATGGAGTTCTTTGGGGATGCACCTTGAACAAATGAAGGTCTCAGACTGTGTACCTGTGAACTCACGGCTGTTTTTGCCCACTTATTCAGCATTTATTGAGCAACTACTGTGTACCAGACCCCAAGGGGGAAAGTTTATGGTGACTAGAACAAAGAACCCTGCTCTAGCGAAGCCAATATTCTAAAGTGACAGTAAACAAATAGTCAAATATCTAATAGAGTGTCAAGTGGTAGTTGATGCTACAGAGAAAATAAAGTATATAAGGAGATAAGGGGTTGGAGGGCTACCTCAGTGATGCTTCTCTCTGACATTTGGATAGAGACCTAAGGATAAGGAACTAGCTGTGGGACTTTGAGGTGAGGACAGTCCAGGCAGAGGGAATGGCAAAAACAAAGGCCCTGTGGCAGGCTGGACTTGGTGGGACGTAATCGTGAGGAGGGAGGGGTTAAGGGTGTGTGTGTGATGGGAGGGGCCTCACCATGCT